GATCCAGAACCTCGGGGCTCTGGTTCCACTTCGCTTTTCCAGGAGGCCATTATCTGCTACCGGAAAACATACAATAACAAAACTGTGATGATAATTTAGTGCCCCAAATCGCAATAGTGCCCGAGATTAACTCCCTAGAAAACTCGAAGTGGCAGTGAAAGTGCCTGTGGACGCTGAATCGTATCACCTTAAGAACTCAGTATGTTCCATTCCCAGGTTGGAAATTTTCTCAACTTCCCTGGGCATAGAGTATCACTGTGCTTGTAATAATACAGATTCATACATTGGTAGGCATAGAAAGCTTTCAATTAATTACTTGACTGAGTTCTTAAGGTATACTGAGTTCTTAAGGTGGTATGGTTCAGCGTCCACAAATCATAGGCACTTTCACTGCCACTTTGAGTTTTCTAGGGAGTTAATCTCGGGCACTATTGCGATTTGAGGCACTAAATTATCATCACAGTTTTGTTATTGTATGTTTTCCGGTAGCAGATAATGGACTCCTGGAAAAAGCAAAGTGGAACAAGAGACCGATATTTTTTTTTTTGATTTTATCCAATCTTTACGAATAACAGTCATTTGAATTTTAACCGAGTCAGTAATCCAAAAACCAGTAAAAATACTAACTCCTGTAAAAAAATCTAAGTGTGTATACAGAAGCAGCGGAGCTCCACACTCCTCGATCAAAACAGCACCGCAGCTGAGCTGAGAGTGCTATGAAATAAAAGGGACATCGACTTATTACCACTACCTACTTCTTCTCTTCCTTCCGCTCTCAGAATTCGCCGATTCGGTGTCTCTCGTTGTGTTTTCTGCTGAGACTGAGCAATATTCGATACCGCGAAACATCTCCGCAGTTATGTTTTCTTTCGGCGCAGGAGATGTGCGGTAATCAAAAGTTAAGAATGTAGCTAAACATTTACAATAACATTCTACCAAATTTTCATGTGCGTAGTCCACTGCAACAGTCGAACGTACGAACGAATAGGGTGACTATAGCGCATTTTATGAAAACGTCACAAGTTTTTATGGCTGTTTTAAATCAATAATAACCAAGAAACCATAAAGCCTACAAGGTTACTACCAAAGGCACAAATCTAGAGAACTGCATGGAAAATGTTTTGTAGAACAACTAATTAAACAGAAATGAAAATATTCAACTTAAAAACACTAAAATGTATGAAATTTCACCAATTTTTTCGGTACTTTCAACATACTTTTCAATTTTAATGTATGATAATTAACTTTAATCGAGTTCTTTTTCAAAGAACATTGATAGCTAAGACTTTAATCTTTCATTTGGTATGTTGAAATCAGAAAACCACATTAAGATTAAAAAAATATAGCTAACCAAAGTTGGCAATACAAAAAAATATAAAATGTTGAATAACTCACTTAGCAGTCATTTCCGACCCTATGTTTCATGGGGATTTTTTCATAACTTTAAGAGCCCTATCTACCCTAAAAATATGTAAAACCCGGAACCAAACACCCTGTATAGTGTTTTAATTGTGTATGGGTCCTGAAAGTTATAGCAAAAGCGCTTGATAAAGCCTAGCATGTTATTTGCCCTGTGAATAATTGTATTTTAATGGTCTATGAAAGTTAGCTTAGAGTCTAAGATAATTCCTAAATCCCTAACTCTTTCACATTTGTCTACAGTTTGATTTCCTAATGCAATTGAAATGTTTGAAGTTGTTCTTTTTCTACTAAATGATATTAAGTTACATTTTTTTACATTCAATTCTAGTAGACTTTTTTTGCACCATATGTAGAATATGTGTATTTCATTCCGGAATATATTGATGTCTTCTTCATTTCTTATTTCCAAAAAGAGCTTCATGTCGTCGGCATAAATAAGCAATTTAAGTTTTTTGAGAATGTAAGATATGTCGTTTACGTATAGAATAAAAAGGAGAGGTCCAAAATGAGAGCCTTGGGGGACGCCTGAAGTGACTTGAATTGGGCTCGATTTCTTTCCGTTGAATTTAATTATTTGTTGGCGGTTAGTTAAATATGATTCAAGCCATTTCAGGAGCCCTGACTCAATTCCATTTTTTTTTTCAATTTAAAAAGTAGCATTGGTATGTCTATGCGGTCAAATGCCTTGCTAAAGTCTGTATAGAGAGCTTCTACGTGGTTTCCATTATCCATTGCATTCAATGAATAGTCTATAAATTCAAGTAAGTTGGTCGAGGTCGAACGACCCTTGAAAAAGCCGTGTTGCATGTCAGTAATTCTATTTTTGATTTGGAGAAGTAATTTTTCGTTGATAATTGACTCGAAAAGCTTAGGAATGCAAGAGATAATGGCTATACCACGATAATTACGTACGTCAGATTTTCGACCAGATTTAAAGATAGGTACTAGAAATGAGCTTTTCCAAATTTTATGGAAGGTTCCGGATTCCAGGGACATATTAAAAAGCCAAAACAATGGAGCAGTGAGTTCCATTGCTAGACATTTAATAAATACTGGAGGAATTCCGTCAGGTCCAGGACCTTTTGAGGCATCTAAATTTTTTAAAGCCTGCAAAATGTTCTGCACTTGAAGTTGATTGAGGCCAATGTCCCTTGAAAATTCTGGATAAAATGTAAAATAATCGCGGTCACGATCTTCTTCAGAAAATGTCGTATAAATTTCTTGAAAAAATTTTGCGAATAGATTACAGTTTTTTTCCGAACTATCACCGACATTTTCGTCTAGATGCATTATTGAAGGAAAATTGTCAGATTTTAATTTCGTTTTTACGTAATTAAAGAAGTTCTTCGGACAGGACTTTATTTCACGTTCAGTTTTTGCATTATATTCTTCAAATGCAGTACTTATAGCTAAATTCAGTTGATCGCACAGATCCAAATAAATTAATAAATTATTACTACTATTGTGTTTTTTATAAATTTTATGTGCTTTTTGCTTCCAACTCAAGGCGGAAGTAGCCGTCAACAATGCTGATGATGGTACAGCACGCAACAACCACCCTACTGCTTTCTCTCTGAGATGATGACGTTGGTCATGACGAGAGGAGCAACACAATAGTTGGGTAAAGAAGAATTGCATTATAACACACCATCGACTGGAACTGCTCTCGCAACGTGGGGCTTTAGGTAGTGATGAAAACGTCGCTAGAACTATTCCACAGCCGCAGTCAGTTTATGAGCAAAAAGAAGGACGCACATTTTTGCCTGTAGACTTGGAGACATACTTCAAGTCTCCGCGTACATCGTACGGGTTAGGCAAAGATGTGCGTCTATCTTTAAAAACTGTCGCATTAATGGCCCTTCGCTTATTTTCAACTTCTATTCAATTTTCATACTGCCGTACTCTAACGGAACTATCCACATACTCTCTTCTAAAGATCATTCTCTAGCTAATAAATTATCACACTAAAGCTTCATGTTACCATTTCCAACCAACTCTTAAAATCGCTAACTTCGCGTATGAAGTAACATAAAAACACTTTGAATGTACAAAATATTGTTTTCTCTGAAAACGCTAAATAAAAATAAAAATAAATAATAATGGAAATAAAATCAACTCTCCATACATTTTTGTATTAACATTATGCCAATAGAAAGGTGGGTGGCGCCATGATATTAGAGAAATTAAAACTGACAGCATTCAGTGATTCATTAACATTAGTTATTGTTAAAAAAAAACATTTAAAACTTTTATACCGAAGGAGAGGGAAGATATGAGATGGATAATAACTAGCTAGGTCATGATCTTTCATACACATTTCCTGACAGTTGGTTGCTGCCCGGGTAAGTTGGACATTGATAAGCTGCGTCGTGGGTGATTTGCCCATAATTAATATCGGCGGATTTTCACACTGATCATTTTAACATTAGTAATACCCATCAGATGAACATCACTAGTAACACCCATCAAATAATTAAGAGTAAATAAATGTTGAATTGTTGAACAATACAGGAAATTTTCCTGTTTTTTCTATACTTCTTTGAGTAGTTTTTTTTTATCAAACTTAATCAGTAAAATGATAGTTTCGAACAAATCAATAAAACGAAAGCCTATGGATCCGTAAAATCATGCGGTAAGAAAAATTAGGGGTACACCCTAATGGAGTCACTTCTTACGCGGTTTTTTTACACGGTTTTTTTACGCGGTTTTTTTTTACGCGGATTTCTGAATTAACGCGGTTTTTTTTTACGCGGATTCCGGAATTTACGCGGTTTTTTTTACGTGGATTTTGGTTTTTTTTTACGCGGATATCAGAATTTACGCGGTTTATCATTATACACTAGAGTCGCTTTTTACGCGGTTTTTTTTACACGGTCTTTTTTTACGCGGTTTTTTTACGCGGCTTTCGGAATTTACGCGGATTCCAGAATTTACGCGGTTTTTTTTACGCGGTTTTTTTTACGCGGTTTTTTTTACGCGGTTTTTTCTTTGCGCAGGGCGTATCACCCGCGTAAAAAGCGACTCCAGTGTATTTACTATGCGTATGGTAAACATATACAGTATCGTAAAAATACCAGGGTCCATTGGAGTGTAATCGAAGTTTGCGCATTTATGAGGGTGTATACGTTTACGATGTGCTTTGTGAATACTTCTACTGTTTTACACATGTATGCCCCGCTAACTGATATGCATTACGTTATATGGCCCGTGGATTAAAAACGTTGGGCAGGTCTGTTTTTAATTTATTGGTAAAAATTCTGCGGGAAAAAACAATCTTTAATTTTCGCTACGTTTTTGTTCTTTATTTTATTCTTTAAAAAATGAAGTTACTTTTCGATGCACGCCTTATTGTAACGGGCTGTTCATACACTACGTAACATTTTTTGGGAATCTTGACCCCCTCCCCCTGCGTAGACAATTGTCCGTACAATTTTTTTTTAAATTTGTATGGGCCGTGGATAATTGTCACCCCCCCCCCCCCCTAACCTGTCTATGTAGTTTATGAACAGCCCCTAAATGCTGACGTTGTACCGCATTACTAAATCTATAAACATAAATTCTTTACTTACAGTTATGCTACGGCGCATCTAGTCCTGCCTTATCAGATAGAAGTAGATTTCCTACGTTATTTAGAACGCATCCATCTGCCACTGTACATAATCCAACTAGGATTAAATTAATGCAGAAATTTGGATGGTCGCGAGTTGCGATTCTCCAACAAGCCGAAGAAGTGTTCATATCGGTAAGTCCGCATATACACCTTTACATCAAATGATTCGTGTTAATGATTCGTATACTCACGCTAAATCACGTATCAGAGCTGCGTCATATCCGATTGCTAACAAATTATATTATATTTCTTATGTTCGTTTTGCGTCCCAATTCTGCTGGCTCATTCTACCCCACAATCAACCGCTCAGACCGTCGAGGATTTAGAAACTCGATGTAAGGATGCTGGTATCGAGATAGTGACGAGACAATCATTCCTTTCCGATCCAACCGATGCGGTACGAAATCTGCGAAGACAAGATGCTCGTATCATCGTCGGACTATTCTACGTAGTCGCAGCCAGGCGAGTACTTTGCGAAATGTACAAACAGCAGCTTTACGGCAGGGCGTACGTGTGGTTTTTTATTGGTAAGTACCATTGAACCAGCTGATATTTTTCATTTTCTCCTTCGGATACATTGTCGTACGCTCCATTTGTTCAGCAACTTTTTCATCAAATATCCTTCTGTTATGGGAATGAACAAGCAAAATCTGAAATAAATGATGCGGATGACAGAATTAGAGAATATCCCTCGTTGAAATCAATATCGTTTAGCTTCCATGCAGCAGGATGGAGAAACAGTTGATACGGTAAAAGCTTACGTTTACTGATGTCGACTAATCCTCGATACTTTCAAGATATTGTACTGGCAAGAACGAACATAAAGATAAACTAAACCGCTTTGCATTAATTGATGTTCGTTTAAGTCACACTAAGCCGATTGTGTTGCTATCGTTTTGAAGGCAATTCTGGAACTCAAATTGAGAAATTGTTAAGATTTGAATCTCTCGCCCAAAGAGAAAGATATAACCAAATAAATAATAACAAGATTAGACACATCATAAGCTTTCAAAATATATGGAAAGTATGGTAGAGCGTTACGTCGCCGTAATCGCCCATTCCCGTACTGTCGAGCAGAAAACATCAATAATACATTTGTTTCGATGCTCATAAGCTACAAAACAAAGCCTATACGAGCGCGTTGTATGAGTATGTACAATCATTGTTCTCAAAGCAAAAGAAGCGCTCCTAGCAAATCAATTTATCTGCTTTCATTCGTAGATCTAAGAAAAAAAAACCTAGAAAAACCAATGGCGTTTCAATGCGTTAAGACGGTATTGAAACTCATAGAATTAATTTAGAATCGAGAAGCAGTGTTAGATTTCTAACAATATCTCAACAATGTATGTCTCTTTATAAAATCCAACGGAACTTTGATAAAGGTAAATAAATTTGGAAGTCATCTTTAGTAGAATCGATCTATTTTTGGATTCATATTCGTTCGAAAAAGAGAGGTTAAGTGCGAGTTGTGCTTAGTAGGACGAAAATTAGATCAAAATCCCTATACTGGTGAGTAACCTATTGTATTTTCATGACAAGCTACTGGGAAGTGCGTACTTTTTCAGAGATTTATTGATACATAATTTGATTGATTGACTAATTTCGATCTTTTAATATTGTTTGTTCTATTCTTCACAACCAGTATCGAATTTGTTGTTTGTCATATCTTAAGTGATTTTATAACCAAACATTCTTATTTAGAGGAAATTTTAAATCATTCCTAAATATTGATATAAATTGATTTCATTTCACAACTCCGGACTTATACGAGATTTGGGCGTGTTTTTTTTTTTCAAATAAATTCGTCGATTTCTCACGAATAAAAGCTAATTCTCCCAAACAAATTATGCCAGTCATGCCTCTACCAGGTTGAGCTTTTATTCGCGAGAAATCGACGACTTACGTTACAATTACGACCAAATCTTGAATTTGACAGGACTTGTGAAATGAAATCAATGCATAACAAATAACCAGTATTTTGCAAAGATATAGCATTTCATCTACGTAAGGATTATTGGTTTATAAATCATTTTATATATGAGAAGCAACAAACTGGATACTGGTAGTGAAGAATAGAGCAAAAAGATATGAATTGATCAAAATGATTTAATCAACCAAATTATGTAATTAGTAAATCCCTGAAGAAGATGAAATAGATGACGTGTTCATCTAGATAAAATTGATAAATCCGGAGAACTTCGTAGCTTTTTCTTTAATTCGCCAGAAACCGGCGATTGACTTGTTTGTTTACAAAAGCAATTACGCCCAAATCTCAAAGTTCGCCGGAAATAACAGATTTTTAACGATGGGCCCAATATTAGATCCATAGGCCAACATTAGAGACATTTACCCTATATCATCGAAACGAGCAATAGTAGACGGAAAACTCCGTAGTAGACTGTGAGAGCCGAAAACCACCCTCCAAAGTTCATATAAGTTCCGTATAAAGTAACTTTTAAGAGTGACGTGTGTGGATGTTGCCGGAGAACTCCTGTCTACTTTCCAGATAGAAGAGCGTACAAAACGGAGAACCACCATCGAACATCTGCGGAACGAGAGGGGCGAGATAATCAACAATGCCGATACGATTCGTGATCACATGGTTCAGTATTTTGCTGATCTCTATGCACGGGCGAATGTGGGTGAAGAAGAAGATAAATTGTTCTAATGTGGGAGAGTCATCCCCGAAGAGAACGCTACAAAGGAAACCTTTATGGACGAAATAGCAACTACACAAATTCTCTCTGCCTTCCGAACGAGCGCATCGAAAAATCGCCAGGTCTCGACGGTCTTTCGAAGGAGTTCTATCTACGAGCTTTCGATGTGATTCACCGCGATCTGAATTTAATCCTGCACACTTAGAAAAATTCATGTAAATTTAGGTTCAGTTCAATCAAACGTACTTTTCGTCGAGCAACGATCTTTTCAGTCTCGGAGTACTTGACATGACATGACATGTTTGTTTAGATGTCATATTTTATGCCAGAGAGGGGCTATTCATTAACTACGTATACAGTTTTTTGGGATTCTTGACCCCCCCCCCCCTGCGTAGACAATTGTCCATATCATTTTTTTTAAATTTGTATGGGCCGTGGATAGTAGTCAACCCCCCCCCCCCCCACCTATATTGTCTACGTAGTTTATGAACAGCGCCAGATGGATTCGAATAACATAGCCTAATATTTGCTCCCCAGAGGTATCCATCGTTACGCTGCTCGTGTCGTCCGTCTGCTGCTGATCTCCACTCGTCTCTGTGATTCTGGGCTAGCCATCGGTTCTGCCAAGAGTACGTGGATAGCCGGCCCGAGGTTAAGAGAGCGTTGAGCTAGCCGTTTCTTTCAATTTCCAGCACAGCCTTGTTATAAATTTTCTCCCCCGATAGCCTATCGGAAACCCGGAATAAAACCGGAACCACTTGGTCAATCTGTTCCGCGTTTTATTAGACCTTAATATCGAACATTTTTCTACTCACTGTGTAAATTTCAGCCAATTTCAACGTAAAATGAAAAAGTTATATCCATGCAAACATTGCTATTCGTATGCCTGTCCGTAAAAATAAAAACCGCACAAAGCACGTTAGGCCTCCCCAAAATTATGACCGGTGGTGTTCAATTGAAACGCTAATAACTTTTCGGGGGTAACTCGGATTCACATCCGATCTTCAATCAAGATGCTTCCAATACTCCAAAGATTCTACATTTTTTTACACGAATGTGAAAGTGGCTTGTTCCTCCACACATTTTGTCGATTTTCCCCATACAAACTTCAAGCCCTTTGAGCCATGGGTTCCCGTGAACCAAATGACACATCACATTTTCGTAGGGTGTTTCCGACCCCCTAAATTACCATTTCAGGGGGTAGCGTTTGAAATTCAAGACTTTGACTTTTTCCATAAACGCTGAAACACTCTACTGTAGATGTATTTATTTTGTAAACCCACGCAGCCTAGGGTTGACGAAATAAATAAATTCAAATCAAAATCCAGGTTTCAAAATCCTATCTATTCACAGTGATTAAAAAAAGTTCCATTCAGGTGTACGATCAATTTTGAGATACACTGTAAAGTATACAGTGTATATGTAAGTTGGAGCAGTAGGCCTGAAATAAAAACATAATAACTTATTACACAGCAGTCGAATCAAATCGATCTTGGATTTAGTATTTCTGTATAATCATCTCAATTGGAATCCCAGAATTTATAAATATTAAGCATTTTTTTTTTTTAATTTTTGGCTAGCCAATGTATACTTTTACTCCGATTTCCAAACCTCCCATAGAAACTTAAAAGCTCTTTTGAATTTATCTAATCTAATCTAATCTAATCTCACACTAACGCAGCCAATACTTTGAAAGCATCCTGGAAAATGACGGCTTCATTTTTCTTGTCAACGGCCAGGCCAACTGCGCAGCATGTGCCGCAGAGAGGATTTCAAGGAGTCAAGTGATGTCAGAAATGAAAATCTGAAACCACTCCACAACCTGAGATCAAGGGAAAAGAAGAAAGCGTGGACCTCCCGTACCAAACGCTTCCAGTTACAATTGAATAATAGTATTTATATGTTTTCGTTGGGAGCATAATTGCTATAAAATTTAATTTATGCTCATGGTGTCTTTGGATGAACTTTTGGCATTTGAACCAAAAGCCAGGCTATTTCTGGGTTAACATTTGAAACAAGTGGAACAACCATCCGTAAACGACAGCTCCAAACACAAACCCTTCAACCATCAAACACACACCCACGAAATATAACACCAGCATCTGATAGAGCAAACTTTCTTTATCGAAAGGCCCCGACAGTCCGCGAGGGCACCATGTAAATTCAAAGAAACCCGCGTCGAAAGCCACTGCCCTCAAACGGTCGTTCCGACCACTTCCAACTCAACCCAGATTTAATGCCAAGGTTATAGCGCCTTATCTCGCTCTCTGGAAATATATGGAAATGTATAGGAATATATGGAAATATACAGATATATATATACATGTAAATAAATAAAAGAGAGAAAAAAAAAGAAATAATATCACAGAAAAGTCATGAAAAAGAAACGACCTGGTTAAACAAGCTATTCAAATGAAATTACGTTCTCGAATTTCACTTGGAATGTAATGAGCAACAGAAATACGCGATAATTCATATTTTCAGCGGTTGGTTTAATTTTAAATATACCAACGGTACTGCTTACGACTACGACGGCGATTACGACAGCGACTACGACGGCGCCTACGACAATTCTCTGTTGTCGAATTTGTAACTTACCATTTGTCTAGGATAAACACCTTTGCCCGGCACCTCCACTGGTTCTTCATGTCCGCTGTCACTGTTTTCTAAATATCTAATAGCAATTACCTTTTTTTTTTTTTACTTTTTATTTGTTCCAAATTTAAAATAAATTACATTTCATTTTTAACCTAGGTGCTCCAGTTACTACAGTAACTTACCAGCCTTAATTGTTATGATCTATATCTAAGTGTTTTTACATTGTTCCTGTCTTGGCAATTCAGTATTTTAAACAGGTTTTTTTAAACCTG